AAATGTGACGGAACTTTGCTTTTTTGTGGGAGATTACATCATTTAAACGTTGAATATATTATCTCATCTTGTCTTATTTTATCTTATCTTAACGACCTTACGTTCCGTGAGATACAAAATGTGACATATAAACTATGTCTTAGATACAAAGTTTGTCGCTGGAAAAAAATATTGCTAGCCAAAACGGGAGTTAGAGCCACGATTTTAACCGTGCTTCCAACAGGCCATATTCGTATTCTCGTGATTGGACTGGAACTAGCTTGCAACTGAGGCTAATGTGGGGAGTCTTTTCAAATGCAAATGATATTCCCCGTATGAGCCTCCATTGCAAGCTAGTTCCAGTCCAATTCCGAGAATACGAATATGGCTTATTCTGCGGGAGTTTTTTTCTTACTTCTTGTTTGTTTGTGTTGTTTTAACCACGAACCACGAAGCAATTACAGAATGACTATATTGAGGCGTACGAGTCTCCTTTCATTTTCATGCACAACCTTTTGCAACAAGCAGCCATCCCTTGAAATGTAAAGACACAGCCATCCTGTGAAAGCAAAGAAAATGACGAAATTACTCTTTCAGTTAAGTTCACTCTCCCAACTGATTAACATACATTTGCCTTAATAGTGGGGCGATACTCTACATCACCAGGTGAATGGTATGTTCACTAACCATGTTTGCAAAATTGGTTCAGTTACTTCGGCTATAAACAGCCTGGCGTGATATACAGTCAACTCTTGATACAGTTAACACTCTGAAGACCGTCACTAGCACTCGGTGTCCGTGATAGCGAGAGTCCGGAATAGCGGAGTGTGATGAAAATGGCCCAGTTTTTGGCTTTCAGGTGTCCCGTACTGCTATACTCTTTTCAGATTGCCAGTTTCTTTTAATTTGTAGAGCACATTTACAATGTACTTTGAAACATATTCATATAATATATGAGAATACGAGGAAATATGAGAATCAGTTTCCCGTTTTACTTACCTTGACCAAGAATGGAAAATCTGCCCAGAAAGAGTAATTTGGAACCATTTCAGGCAGGCTCTGTACACCCTTACGGTATTTATTATACAACAAACCGGCAATGAGATAAACAAAAAGCAGAACAAAGAACCTGCAGGAAAAAAAGAGAAGAAAAAACTTTACAAAACAAAACACAGACGAGACTGCCGAATATTTCAATATCAATTGCTATGGAACGCCAAAAGTTTGTAAATAAGCTCCTCTTCAGCGGATAAGGTCCTAACCGAAGATTTTGACACAACAACAGCTGCGATGCAAAACATCAATGGAAATGAATAAATTTACTTTTTTTCCCCAGCTCTAAGCAAGCCTTGCTAATTTCCAAAATGGAAAACCACAGTGAACGTCTAACTCTCCCCAACTTTTCTATCGGCGTGGACTTTTAGCTCCAAAAGTCAAAATAGAGAAGAAACAATGGACACGGACTCAATTGTCAATGCTTTCTTGATCTTTTACATTATGTTATACAAGAACTGGTTCATGTTTTACGTGCGCCCATCGAGTTATGGATAATCGCACAGAGTTTAAAGAGCACCAAATAAGTATATTGGTAAGGCCTGTTCAGCTTGAGAAAAGCACTCAAGAAGCTACTCTCCTCTACAACATGCTCTCCAAACTCCTGGGAATCTCCATACCTACATGGACGCACGCTCTGTCCTACGTTTAATACGTACACTATCAGCAGGACACTGCCTGTGCTTAGGCCTGAACCACCAGTCGGAGAGCCACCCTCATCGCACACAAATTTAGAACGAAACGTTGTCTTCTGCAAATTGATGAAAAGAGAACTGGTGTAAGCTGCGGAAATTTCGTAAACCACTTGGACGTTACCAAAGGTCTTGAGTTCCTGCTTAGAATGCTACATCTTAATTACTTACTCCTCCGTGAACCTCACGAACATCTTGTTTCATTTCCACCGAGAGAAGTAGTTTCATAAATCATGCAAGGGCTGTTAGTAGGCTGTTAGTAGGCTGATGAATTTCTTCCCCGTTCCCAAATAAAATTTTTAAACAACTAAGGCAATGTGCTTCCCTACACCGCTTCCTTGATTTGACACATTTTGGTCCCTCCCCCCAAAAAGTTATATTAGTTAACAAATAAAGAAGCATAAAGTGAAAACACGACGGGCGTTTGAGAACAAGAGGGAAATGTAGAAAACACGAGCCGCAGGCAAGTGTTTTCTACATTTCTCGAGTGTTCTCAAATGTCCG